TACAGCTACAATAACCTTTGTTGATATTTTTGGAAGTTATATAAATGTCCAGTTCTAGGGAGGTAGCTAAATTACAGTGGATTGATTCATTCTGTGAGACACAGGCTGCCAAACATACTGATCTATTTACTATCATAGGAAGATACTAGAATGAATTGTTTTAAGAAAACAGACAGTAGGTCAGCATTTTCCCTCTTTATAAAGCAACCAGAAACATACACAGTTAAGTGTTACTAGGAATTATCTCTACATACTGAAATGATGGTAAATGTTTATTTTTACTGTTCATATTTTTTAAAAATTTTCTGTAAAACATACTACTGTTCTAATCAGAAAATGAACTTGGTCTTCAGAGTTGAGAAAAAAGTTTTTAACTCTGTTATTAAAAATACAACAAAACCTAAAAAAGAATAAATAATGAAAATACTTTTTTTAGCAATAAAGAACTGCTTTTGTTGTTTGTTTAGGAAATCTACAGTGGGATCTGTTAGAGCTCTTATGAAGTTCTCTTGTAAATGTTTATCTTTTAGTTCATTATTTCCCACTGAAGTTTACACTAAAGAAGAAGCATAAAAAAAAAAAAAGAAAAAGCATTAGAATATTGGGGAAAAGATTAGAACTTCTGTTAATTTTTAATTTTCTTGTTATTTTAATAATTTTGTTTTATAATATGAAAAAGAAAAACAGAACCAATATTATTGTAGAATTTATCTAGAAATGAATATGCATATGCTGAAAGAGTGTATTTTCAGGTTTTTTAGTGATGAGGTATGTAATTAAAAGTTTGGGAATTGGGACCTTTGGTGGCCTAGTGGCAAGATGCTGTACTGCAATCCCAGAGGTACGCAGTTCAAATCCACCAGATGCTTTGCTGGAGAAGAAGGGACAGTCTCCGTCTGTAACAGTCAGATCTGATTTGAAGGTATACGTACAAAAACCCCCAAAAAACAACAAAAAAAAACATTAAAAAAAGTTTGGGAATCATTGATGTAGACCTCCTGTTTTCAAACTATGGTCCAAGGATCCCTGGGTGTCCCTAACAACCGTTTCAAAGGCTTACCAAATTCTTCCATTTAACAACTACACTATCTATTTGAGTCTGCATTTTCTTCATATACTTCAATCAGAACAACAGGGTGGAATGCAGAAGCAGATATTAGAATGCACTTGTCTTCCATTTAGCCAGCATTAAAGAGATCGGAAAATATAGACAACAGTGTTACTTTTCTCATTAAATTATAAATTTTGTCCCTTGACATTTTGCTGAATACTGGTTCTATTCCTTTCTTGTGGAATCTTTAGAGGGATTTTTAAGTAGAGAATCCTTTCCATCTGTAGGAGGGGATGCTTTTACACGCCCCTCCCCTTCTTGCTTAATTTATCTTTCTACAAACTTTCAGAATACTGTTGACAAGCAATAGTGAGCTTGGCTATCCTTGTTTTGTTACTGATCTCAATGAAAAAAATTGTTTGTCTGTCTGTTGACCATGAGGTTAATCATGGATTTTCCCGTGAATGCCTTTTATAATACTGGAGAATGTCTCTTCTGTACCTATCCTGTTGAATGTTTTCATCATGAAAGGTGTTGGTTTAGTCAGATGCATTTTCTGCATCAATTGAGGTGATTGTGTGGTTCTTACATGGATTTATTTTCTGATACTGATCTACTCCCACACTTCTAGGAAAATTCTTACTTGATCTTGGTGTGCACCAAAACCAAAACAAATCCATTATTATTGTTGAGTCGTTTTAACTGGGAACAATCCTGTAGAACAGAATAGAATGGCCCCACAGGGTCTCCAAAGTGTAAATTGTGCAGATCGCCACTGTTTTTTTTCAGTGGAACAGCTGTATCTTTGAGTCACCAATCTTTTTGTTCGTAACTGACTGTTTAACCACTGTGCGCTAGGCCTACTCATACTGTACAATTCTGTTAATACATTTAAAAATTTGGTTGCATAGAATTTTATTAGGTATTTTTGCATATATATTTATCAGGGATATTGTTCTATAGTATTCTTATGATATTTAGATTTATTCTCAACATACTTCTAGTCAAACACCCAGTGTTAACAAATTATGAGAATAATAACAGTGAAAGAATTGTTTTTCCAAAGAAAAAAGTGAACTGGGAGTGGGGAGGGGGACAGGGAGGAAAATTTGCAACAATGAATGAATGGAAATTCTGGTTCTCTATAAACTCATTAAGATCTCAGTTAAAAAAGATTTTTTTAAAAAATAATTAACACTCCAAAATTGAGAAAAAAAAATATGAGGAAAGAGGCTATTTAAACCTGAAAATGAAATATTTTGTGACCTTTGAACAAAATCATGGCACTTCTTAGATAGTAAGTTATTTTTTTAAAGACCCACGTAGTATTACCTATTTTTGCTTTATCATAGTTGCCTCTTTGTCTCTGATAGACTAGCGACCCCTCAGATCAGAGTACAAGCAATTTATTGGCTGACATCTACTGTCTCAAGCATGTCTAGAATGCTAGACAGAATGCAGTACAAGTAAGCAGCATACACCACTAGCAGCTTATAAAGGGGAGTTCAGGGTAGAATGGTGAAATACCTAGTGGGAAGATACAGTTGGTGTGGACTTTTCAGAAAAGCAGAGTGTTCTGACTGTTAAAAGTTCCCGCAACAGTTCTGGTCACCAGGTGCAAGGGAATGGGTCAGGTTCTCAGGCCTCTAAGGTCCAGTTGATTCTCTTGCCTCTCAGTCTTAATCCCTTGTAAAGCCCTATATGTTTCTCTGCTTCTGTCACCAGCAGTTACAAGTTAGTATTATGGTGATTTCTTATGAGACAGTAAGATCTTTGGCAATAGAAAGCATTTCGTCTTTCTTCAGTTTTATAAAGTACATTGGCTGTCACAGTGTTTGGCACTAACAGTCAGGAAATCAAAAGACAAATTGCATTGGGAAAATCTACTGTCAAAGGACCTCTCCAGAGTGCTAAAATGCAATGATGACAGTCTGGAGATTAAGGTGCACCTGATCCAGGCCATGGTCTGCATCAAAGAGCTGGACAGTGACTAAGGATGACAGAAGGATAGATGCCTTGAGTTGTGCTGGAGAAGAGTAAACATTCCATGAATTGCAAAGAGAACAAACAGTTTTGTCTTGGAGAGGTTGAAACCAGTTTGCTCCTTAGTGGCAAGAACTTTGATGCTTCATCTCACATACTCTGGGCATCATGCTTGGAAAAGTAGAGGGACAATGTAGGAGGGGAAGACCCTAAAAGGGATAGATTGACATAGTAACTGAGATAATGAGGTTAGGTGTGTCAGAGACAGTGAGACTGGCTTAAGATAGGGCAGGGTCTAGTATTCTTGTGCATAGAGTCACTATGAGTCTCAGGCAACTCGATGGCACATAACAACAACAGTGAGTGGTACATTGGCTTGATAGAACCTTTGAAAGATGGGCCAGGATCTTTAAATAATAATTGTTCTTGAGAATGTCTGTATCTCTATCTCTATATCCACACACTCTTTGTATATTAGCTATTTTCTTATCTGATATTTCATGTTTACAATGATAATATAAAATAGTCTATTCTTCAGCTGTCTTGTGCATTAGTGAAGCAGTGAGCATGGTGACAGTAGCTGGGGAGCTTCCTCATCTGTGAGAATCACATTCAGCCGCTGCATGGGGTCCAGCCTCCTCTGTGATTGTGGCTTCTAGGTGAACACATAGGCAAGCCTAGTCAGTGATGTTTAATGACATCCTGGAGTGAAAGAAATTAGGCTTTAATTCTCGGCTTGTGTGATGGGCACAGTCTTCATCCATGAGATGCTGTCATATCAGTTTTAACATAGAGTTTACATGTGACAGAATAGAGCTGCCCATCAATTTTCTAGGTTGTAATCTTTACAGAATCTGAGTACCAGATCTTTTGCTTGCTGAGCTGCTAGTTGAATCCTGTTAGTAGCTGAGCACTTAATTTTTATGCTACCTGGGCTCCTTTCAGTAACTGGGTAGACTTGACAGATTGAGTAAATTATTCAGGGTTGCCTCAAATGCTTAGTTGCATTAGGACTAACATTTTGTTTTGAATCTTAAAGCAGTGTTTCCATTCTTTCATGCTTGCTACTTGTTTCCATACTAGTGATATTGACCAGTTTTCAATTTGTTTAAAATTTGCTGTAGACTAGGGAACACAACTGTATGTTTTATTCATTCAATTGCTCATGAAGAAAAGACTTGAATAAGATCTTAGCTCTGTTCTCGAGGAAGTTGGTTTCTAGAAAGTAGATGATGATGATCTTCTAGAAACGAATATAAGTTAAAGAGTTGAGTGTTGTAATAGGTAAATATGTATGGCCAAAAGAGATTTAGAAAATCTTAATTTTGAAGGCTGATGGGATCAAAGTCTTATATAGAACAGGTCAGTTGATGAGAATCGACTGATCACATATTGAAGGAACTGAAGGATGTGACAGTGAATGATTTATTTTGTTCAGGGATGTTATGTGGAAAGTGGTGTGATTTTGGAACATACTGTGAAGGGCCCAAAGTGTAGTTTATTTGCGTAGAACTAAGATTCCAGAGGATACAGTGGAATGGCCTTGGTAGGTCAGAGAGTATCAGGGGAAACGCCAGTGGCTATGAAGTACAAACAAACATGAGGATGAGAGAGAAGTCAGTTTTACCATCCTTCCTGCTCATTAGTGTAGATTATAGAGGTGATTTTCATCAGTTTTGTTGTAGTCCTTTGAGTTTGTTGCTGCATGACCAATATTGCAGTCAATTTACTCTTTTTGGTATTATCTAGTATTCTTACATATTGTTTGGCTTATTAATCAACTAGATCAGTCTTCATTCATGTTCAGTCTATGAGTAGATCCTATCAACAGATGAAGAATGTTCAGTCAACACTATAAATGGTACTTTAAGTTAAAAGAATCATAAATTGGTATAATATTCTATTAACTCTCAATATTAATTCCTACTCTTTATTGTGTCTTTTGTGTGTATGCATATGTATATAGATTAAATGTATCTTTAGAATACAGTACGAAGAGGTCTTGTATATTCAAAGGCCAATTGAAGAAGACAGAAGAAAATTTTTCCAAGAGTTGATTCTCAATCAGGCGTCAATGGCTCCACCACGAAGGAAACATACCGGTAAAGCCCCTAAAACCATTAGGGAAATGGGGGGTGGGGGGGTGGAGTTAATCAGTGAATGCCTTTTCTTGGATTCCACAATTTTTTTGTAATTTCTCTGGGATGCACACATAGTTTGTCAGGTTCTAATTAGTTTGGCCCACTGTGTTCACCAGTTTTGGGCATTTCAGAGCAATCTAAATATTAAACCTTTACTGGTAGAAAAAAGTATTTATTCCCCTTTACACTTTAGTCTGGATATGCTGATAAAATTTACAGTGAATTAGAGAAGAAAGGTCTTTACTTATGTTTGCTATAGTCACTTTAAGTACCCTGGACTAGAATTAACCAGTTTGTGAGCACCAGCTATTGTGCTGGTTGCTTTGTAAACCAGGTTACTGGTTGCTTTTTGTTGATTGAATTTCAAGTGTTGGTTAGAACATTTACTTTTTCTGGCATATTTTTTTATTAATTTAAAAATATTTATTAAACATGTGTTATGTTAGCTATTTTATGTTAGGTACTCAGAAATCTATTAGGTTTTTGTTTTAAGCAGTTGGTTTTACTTGGGTTGTAGACTGATAGCATTCAGAAGGCCTCAGTAATTTGCCAGTTTGCAGTTTCTAACTTAAGTAATAAGGGCTGCATTTTAAACTATTCAAAAGAGACTTTCTTTTTTTGATCTTTAGGATAAATAAGATGCCTACTCATTTAGTCTCTTTTAAAGAAAAATCCTTAAAAAAAAAAAATTGAAGTCTTTCCCCACTAAGTATATCTTTAGTTTCTAGGATTGGTTCTTATAGAATATCTCAAATTCAACTTTTTATTATTCTTCCTAGTGGTCTTGCTTATCTCTGTCTTTTTCAGATTGGTTATACTACTCACACTTTAATTCCATTACTCTTTAGTTGGCCTCTTGCTAAAGTTTTTCAGTGTTTTAAAAATGAACCATTCTAATGGCTGTAATTTGGGGGATTTTCCCCAAGAAACTTTAGAAGATTCAGTATGTATATTATATTTTCTGACTGATTGTAGCCTCTTTTTAATCTAAATACACTGTTTATGAAATACTTCAGTAGAAAGATTTTTTTTAAAAAAAGCAAAACATGGTATTTTTTATCATCTTACATACATTTTAGTCCCAGGGAGCTCTGGTGGCCTAGTAGTAAGAAACTACACTCCAGTCTCAAAGACATGCTGTTTAAATCCACCAGCTGCTCCACAGAAGTAGGAGAAAGATGAGCAGTCCTCCTCCTGTACTATTAACTGCCTCAAAAAAATTACTGTGGAGCATCAGCTATCGCTAGGTTCCAACTTGACAGTAGACAACGAAGCAACAATTTGCATTTTTGGTGTTTTCTTGTTTGTTTTGAATTGGCATAATACTGTTTTTTAGTTGTTTCTGTTGAATTTAATTTTTCAAAGGAGCTCTGGTGGCCTAGGGGCAAGAAGCAATCCTGAAGGTGTTGCAATCCTGAAGACATGCGGTTCAAGGCCACCAGTTGCTCTGATGGAGAAGGATGAGCAGTCTCCTCCTGTGTGATTAACTGCTTCTGAAAATCCACTAGAGGGTCAGCTATGCGTTGGTTCCGACTCTACAGTACCAAACAACAACAACAGTTGCTTCTGTTGAATTTTATTTTTCATATTAGCGGCCAATTAGAAACCAGCGAGAATATTTAGAATTTACCTCCACTCTTCAATTTGAAGAATTCTTTTAAAGAATTAGAGCGTACTATGATTAGGAAAATTAATTTTTACTATTTAATAAGGTTTTTATTTAGGTAGTAAACGCCATAGATTGTTTCTTATAATGGTTTATAAACTGAGTTTGTTTTCATCTCCTCTAATCTCTGGGTTTGTTTTTTTTTTTCTTCTGCCCTCACTGTTCTCAAATGTTACTTACAATTTCTGTTATTGTACTTAAAATACAAAGTTGTGAGATTTGCCTAAAATAAGAATGTTTTGGAGGACAGAAATAAAAAAATTTAACTTTCTCAGCATATATGACAAGTTCAATTTTAAACAAAATTGACTGGACCAAATCATTATACAGTACTTCATCCTATGTGTTGACGTATTTTTTTAACTTAATGTCAGTATTATTTCAGAGTGAAATTATTAAAGATTATTTTTGTTTCTAAAGGAATCTTACTATAAATTAAGGAGCTCTGGTAGCACAGTGGTTAAGTGTTAGACTGCTAATGAAAGTTCAGACTATCACCTATTCGTTCCTTAGGAGAAAAATGTGTTTTGCCTCAATAGAGATTATAGCCTGGGAAATTCTGTGGGTAGTTCTTCTTACTTGTCCTCTTTGCTCTGAGTCAGAATTGACTTGATATTTCAGTGGTTTGGTTTCTTTATTTTATTGTGAGTTATAAATTGAAGCTATTCCCAGATTTATTTTTTTATACCCACTCACATTTTACTTGTTTGAGTTACATAGAATTTCGAATTCACCTTTTCTTGAAAGAATATTTTGAGAGTATGTCAGAAAACTAATTTAGATGTAGGCCCAACCATTTTGGAATATTAACACTTTCTTCTGAATTTTTGTTTGTTGTTGTATTGTTTGTTTTATTTTGTTTCAGCTCTTTGTGCTATGGAAGTGCTTCCTCTCGCACTACCTTCTCCACCTCGCCAATTATCAGAATCAGAAAAAAATCGGATGGAAGACCAGGAGGAAAATACTTTAAGAGAATTGCGATTGTTTCTCAGGGATGTAACCAAGAGGCTGGCCACAGATAAACGCTTTAACATCTTCAGCAAACCGGTGGATATTGAAGAGGTCTTGTTTCAGTAGTGTGCAAACAGTGAAGTTGAACTGGCTAAAAGAAAAAATATTGACATCTTTTTTTGGAAGGAAAAAAAACAAAGGCATGGATGAATATTACCCCTAGCCTGTAAAATTATAATCCATGTGATAATTACCCACATCATCAGCAAACAGCTGGTGACTCTTGGGTAAAATTAGTCACTGATTTGTATATCTCCTGTTAATTATTATTGATCTTTGGGATCTCTTACTCTTCAGTTATATGAAGAGGATTAAAAGTTATTCTGTCCATACTAGACTATTTTTATTCCAGGATAAATCCTGTTCACAAGATATATATATATTGATATTAACCAACCAAAGCTAGTTAATATTGGCATTTCCAAAATTCCATATGTTTCATCCAAAGTGTTGGATAGATAATATGCCTATAAGGTTTTTTTAATATTTCATATTTTGATAATGCATCTGGCTCATGCTGTTTAAAGTAAAGCACATTTTACACAATTAAAATTATTTTTTCCTCCAATGTTTTCTCTGCTCCTGGTGGAAAATTTCTTACTTTCTGTGTGTTTTGTTTTGTGTGCTTGTGGGAGCATGGTTTGTGATAATGCGTAAAGAAATTTTCCATTTGGATTCTACCATAATAGTGTAAATTATTACTGTTTTAGATTATTACTGTTATTTTTTTTATCCTGGGATAATGTAGTGTGTGGATGAACATAATGTAATATTTACTGGCCATCTTCTTTATAGTTCAGACTCCATGTTTGAACAATGTTGGTGTTTTTATTTTTTTCTGTTTTCTTTCATTTGAATTATGAAGTGATTTAAAGTTTAATGTTATGTCCTGGTTGTGAAATCTGTGTTTTTGGACCTGAGTAGCTTCCTTTGGAACCATTACTTCATGTGGGAACAGTGAGCTCACATTCCACTCCTACCTGCAAATCTGCGAATATTTAAAAGTTATCTTTTTCCTTTTTGTGGGTGAAAGGACTACACAATTTTATTAGCCTTCCACGATACATAGTTTTATTCATTTGATCCTCTCAGTAACCTGCATTGTCAAAATTATTATTCTTATTCTGCAGCTGAGGAAAACCATTCCCACAGTTTGCAAATGACATAGCCGAAACATGGAATTTTTAAAAATTCATAGCTCATATTCTTTATATTCTTTCTCTTACCCCCATCTGAGATAAAACTAGACCTTCATAATGAACTATTTTAATTATTACAGATCATTTTCTATTAGTAGAATATTTTTCTTCCTTTCAGATAATCTTAAAAATATTAAAACCATTAGTAAGATTATCTTAACTATGTCTGCCCTTCACATCAAATTGTTTGGACTCTGATATTTCTTAAAGGATAATCTCTTATCATATGTTTGGAATAAACCAATTTTGGTTTTGCCCAGGAAATATTTTCTTTCTAATTAGAAGAAATTGTTAGTTTCCCAGTGTCAACTACAACAGACTAAAAGTTTCATAAATGATGGTAATTCAGTAGAAAAGGACAGAAACAAATTTTATGGAAGGACGGAATTGTATTCCTCTTGTTTCTTCTTTATTCTTTTGTCTTAGGTTGAGTCTGCTGCTCTTTTTTAATCTGCTGTTTAGTATCAGAGTTCCTGGAAGAGATTAGAGAGGGAAGTAAAAATTACATTTTAGATAACTCAAATCACAAAATTTACATTCAAATGACTTTAATATATCTGTACTCTAAGCTGACAGCAGAGAAAAGAGTTTAGAAAATACTGAAATTTAAAATTAAACATAGGTGCTAAAATTTTAAATCTTTGTAGTGCTTTATAAAACATTTTCTATATGTATATAGGGCTTTGTAAGTGCCAGTGCTATTTATAAACTAATATCTGCTAAACTATTACTTGTTCCAGTATAGCTCTACTGTCTTCCCTATAGAAATTGATTGGCGCTTTTTTTTTTGTGTTTTGTTTCTGGAAGCCAATATAGAAATGAAATGCACCTCCCTTTATCTAATATTTTATAAGGTCTTAAAAGATTTATATGTATTTGTACACATATAAAATTGTGTGTACACATAGTTTTAAAAACAATGGCAATAATGCCATCTGAAACTAACCTTCAGTTTCATAAAGCAAAGAATTTCCTTTCTCTAGAAATCAGTCCTTTATAAGCAGACTTTATTGCTTCGACTTTTAAAAATATCAAACCTAATTATAGCATTTAAGATTTACATTAGGGAAGGCTGTACACATACACACATGCATACTTTTCTGGAACGTTCTTAACAGTCAAGTAATATCAGACATACAATTTATTGAATAAATAATTCTTTAATATTTTTTCTGTCTCCCAGAAAATCAACCTATAGAGCAAAGCATTTTAATTTGTGGATTTGTTAATATTTCAAGTCCAAAAAAATCTTTTACTCATGATGAAAGCATTATGTGCTTTATTTGAAAATGGTTGAAAATATTTGTAATGCCTCCAAAGGAGTGGAGAAGACTTTCCATGAAATAATTCACCATAGAAAATGTAAAGACAGAGAAAAATTTTTGTTTAAACTTTTAAAGATTAATTAGAAACTTTACTAGTACTATTAAAGTTAAAGATCCTTTTTATTAAAGTAATATTTATTGATACTTACTGAGTACTTTAACTCATACATTCTTTTCAGTATGTCTAAAAAGATTTTGAAATAGGAAAAAAACCCTACCAAAACCCCCACCCATACTGAGGCAATTGGTTTCAAAGTTTAAAATGTAAAAGTGTTTCAGAGCTGATTTAGATATGGCTTGGAAATTGAGACTATTCATGGAAAGTATGACAGATAATAGCGTGAGTAAATTACAGTGTAAAATGTCTTTTTAAAAAAGTCAACATTAATTTTTAAATATTAATTTATAAGCAGACTAAAATATGAAAAATCAGAAATAATTTTCATTAAAATATTTATTGTAGGTTTCAGATTATCTTGAAGTAATCAAGGAGCCAATGGATTTATCAACAATAATAACTAAAATTGATAAACATAATTACCTGACTGCTAAAGATTTCCTGAAAGATATTGACCTCATCTGCAGTAATGCTTTAGAGTACAATCCAGATAAAGACCCAGGAGGTAAGGATAACAGGACAAGATTTACTTTGATAATTGCTGAGAAGATTATTTAACCACTAAATCATATTTAGGTTTAAATAAATGCATTAATTTTAATTACTTGTTATGTCTACAAACATCTTGATATTGCTGCAATAAGATATTAAAAATATTATTTTAAGGATTTTTATTGTCTAACCATTATGTTCAAAATTTGGTTTCTTACCTTTAATTTTTTTAATTCTTAGATTTTTATTTTGTTCATATTTTGATGGAAAACTAATTTAGAATTTTGTGAAAAGAAAAAAAAATATTACTTAATATTCACAGTGCTGATAAACTTTGGGAATTTTGAAATTGTAGTTACTAGTGTTAGGATAAGTCTACATATCAAAAGTGCTTCTTTATGGATATAATTAATTATCTCTTCTATAGGTTATGAGTGCTATTCACTGGAGTTTCAGCTCTGAGTTGGTTCTCCTTATACATAACAACAGTACAGTGTTATTAAGTACAGTTGAGTTGTTTCTAACTCATATGACATATACGTATACAATACACTAACCTTCCACCATTCAGTCTTTTGCTGTGTGTCTCTACTGCTGCAGTCACGGTATCAGCCTATAGACATATCCCCTTTTTTTTGTTGTCCCTTTACCAGTGATGGCACTTTTGTCTAGGAACCTGATCCTTCCTGATAACATGTCCTGTTTGCATGAGGAACAGTTTCATTATATTTGCTTCAAAAGACAATTCTTTGGTAGTCCATGGTATCCTTCACCAACACCCTAATTCAAATACGTCTCTTTTTTTTTTTGGTCTACCTTATTAATTTTTCTAACTTTTACATGGATATGAGGAGATTCAAATTGCTATTGCTTGGGTTTGGTGTATCTTAGTCTTTAAAGTGATGTTTGTATTCTTTAACTCTTTTAAAGAAATCTTTTGCCACAAATTTGCCCAGTGTAATATGCCATTTGTTTTATTGTGTACCATTTTGTGTGTGGATTGTGAACCCAAATGAAGTTGAATCCTTCACAGATTTTATCTCTTCTTTGTTTACTGTCATACCATTTACAGGTGTAATTGTGAGAATTAATTGTTTCCTTTATGTTGAAATGCAATCCATATTGAAGACTGTAGTCATTAAGCTTCATCAGTAAGTCCGTAAGGTCTTCAAGGTTGTGCCATCAGCGTATTATAAGTTGTTCTAATTTTTCCTCCAGTTGTAATGCCATGTTCTTCATATGTTGTTGTTATGTGTTGTCTAGTTGCTTGCGACTCATAGTGACCTTGTGTACAACAGCTTTAAACTCTACTCTGTCCTGAGCCAATCGCACCATCTCCGATACACCCATCCCGATTACCCCAGTCACTGAATCAATCCACCTCATAGAGGGCCTTCTCCTCCTGCGCTGTCCCTCCACCCTACCAAGCATGATGTCCATCTCCAAGGACTGGTCCTTCCATACAACATGTCCAAAGTATGTTAGATGAAGCCTCAGAATCGATGAAGCCTCAGAATCCTTGCCTCCAAGGAGCCGCCCGGTTTAACCCTTTCCAGGATGAATCTGTTTGTTTTCCTAACAGTCCATGGTACCCTCAATACTCTTCTCCAGCACCACACCTCAAAGGCATCAATTCTCCTTCTATCCTCCTTAGTCATTGACCAACTCTTTGATGCATAACAAGTGATTGCAAAGACCATGGCCTGTATCAGATGCACCTTAGTCTCCAGAGAGACACCATTGCTCTTCAGTACTTTGGAGAGGTCCCTAACAGCAGACTTTCCTATGGCAATACATCTTTTAATTTCCTGGCTACTGGTGCCAAGAGTGTTGACTGTGGAGCCAAGCAAACTAAAGCTGTGAACAGTCTCAATCTCTTCACCATCAATCCTGATATTGCCAATTGGCCCAGTGGTGAGAATCTTTGTCTTCTTGACATTGAGCCTCAATCCATATTGGAGGCTGCAGTCCTTGACCCTCTGCAACAAGCACTTCAGGTCCTCCTCAGTTTCAGCAAGCAGGGTTGTGTCATCTGCATATTGTAGATTGTTGATAGATCTTCCACCAGTCTTGACCCCACATTTCTCCTCATAGAGCGCAGCCTCCCAGATAATCTGTTCTGCATACAGGTTGAAAAGGTATGGAGACAAGACACTTCTCTGACATACACCCGTCCTAATTTTGAACCATGCAGTGTTTCCTTGCTCTGTTCTGACGAGTGCCTCTTGGTTCAAGTATAGGTTTCTCATTAGCATGATCATGTGTTCTGGGATTCCCATTCTTCTCAGAGTCAGCCACAGTTTGTTATGATCCACACAGTCTTCCATAGTCAATGAAACACAGATATACATTCTTCTGGTATTCCCTGCTTTCAGCTAAGATCCATCTAACATTAGCTACAATATCCCTAGTACCACGACCCCTTCTAAACCCAGCCTGGACTTCTGGTAGTTCTCTGCTGATGTGCTGTTCCAGTCGTTTTTGGATAATCTTCCGTAGAATCTTGCTTGCATATTTATTTCATTCTTTGCTCAACGTACAAACTGAATAGGTATGATGAAAGGATACAACCTTATGCACACTTTTTCTGATTTTAAGTCATGTAGATCTCCTTTTTCTGGTCCGATGACTGCCTCTGATACTTAGCCCAAGAGGAAGTCATCTGGCCAGAGAAAAAAGAGAGATCTACATGTCTCTCTCCACGCGCGCGCGTGCACACACACACACACGTAAATACATCACAGTTCCTACTATCAGAAATTCATTGTTCAGTTGGAGTGACAAATCAATTTACATAATTATTGGTAGTTAAAAGAACAAACTATTATTTAAGGAAAGATAAACCAGTAATTAAATTTTTCCTGAGGTAGCAGCTGGAAAGTATAATGCATTGTTGTAATGTCTTTGTTCAAAACATGTACAAAATGTGAATGGAGCATAGAGGAGAAGATATTAGTTCAAAGCTAATGAAATTGTGAAGGACATTTGTTCCAAGTTGTGTACTATGAGTAAAGAGCCTGACTGAATAATAGCATACTTAGAGAGAAATAGGAAATTCTGTCACCGCCCTCTTTATTGATTCACCATTTCCTGATATCTACTCATTAAATATTTTCATGTATGAATCATGTTTCATGTGAGACAGATATAGATAAAAAAGACAGACCTGGACTCTATTAAGTGTTCAAAGCCTACATAGTGGAGAGTCCTACATATAAATAGGTTTCCTATCTTTATAAGGGTTAAACCGGGTGGCTCCTTGGAGGCAAGGATTCTGAGGCTCTGTCTAACTTACTTTGGACATGTAGTGAGGAGAGACTGGTCCTTGGAGAGGGACATCATGCTTGGGAGGGTGGAGGGACGGCGCAGGAGAGGAAGGCCC